TCCACAAGTCCAACTTTTTGTGTGATGGTTAGCATCTTCCACACTGCTAGCGATCAAAGATTTACGTATATTTAACAAGCTGAACACATTCTGTACTGTACAGGAGACACGGCACGGAGGGGATTGTTTGACAATGGCCTACAGCCAATCAGGACACAGAACACAATGCGGTGTAAAAAAAAAGCAAAAACAAAACAAAAAAAGCATGCAAAATTGCACACACAAAAAAATCAGCGAAACAGCGAGGCCACCCACGAAAGGTGAACCGTGTTATAGCGAGGGAGCATATTAGCCCAGGTGTGTCACAGGACCTCAGCTAAAGTCCACGTCAATCTTGCACTTTGTCAGGATTGTGCTTTAAATCTCAACATCAGTTCACATAAACACATTTTTCCCACCAGCTGGTTGTGTCACCGATGACACGAACACAACACCTTTACCGTTATTCATGCTTTGCAGTCGAGTGAAGTATCTTGTACTTGTTGAGGAAACGATGTGCGCACCGTTTTCCTGCACAGTGCTGCTGTGTCAGGTACCCGCGGTGTCTCCATTATGCACACAGTGTCCTTTAGCATGGCTACTCTTGACATTCCAGCCACAGCTGCATCAGCTGCCATGAGATAACAGCCATGTTTAAGAGATGTCCAAAATCCTCATAGGAAGGTGTACTTTCCAGGATTAGCAGCAAACCGGACACCGATTCGTGTCTGCTTGAGAACTTTTTGTTTTGGACACAGTTTCTTTTTTTCCCCTTCACTTTACTGTCGCTTCCACTTGCTGGTTGGGCTCAGGAACTAAAACCTGCCTTCTTAGGGAAAGATGGTGTTGTGGGTAGAAACACATCTCCGTACAATAGTAATCCTCCTCATTGATACATGTTGGGAATGACCATCAATCTTACTGATACCATAACAGACATGTTGTAACACATTCACTAAACGGCACTAAACTCTTGAAGATGGGCCGGATTGAACTGATGAAAAACTAATGTGAGAGAGGAAAATGAGTGTTTGTCCACACATTACACATGAACCAGCC